TGGATAAAAAGAGGTATCATTTAATCAGTGCATACTTGATGAATTCAACAATTTAAAATTATACCATTAGGCACCTGGGCTTTATTATAGCACATTTTCTCCATTTGGCATTTAAGTACACGCCCCAAAAGGAATGCAGTTTGAAATCATGCATTTTCAGATGAACTTCCAGCATGACACCAAGAGGCACTGCCAAAAGAAAATGGCATAAACTCATGTGGCCTGCAGCACACACTACTTCTCTTTCTCCCTATAAACCTCTTTTCACCCAGATGAGCACACTAGCATTATTGAACAGACAGTAAGTTCCTAATTTCCTTTTACTACTTCTTATAGTCTCATTTTCCTCTTACTATTTTTTAATGTTCTCCTTTCATGTGGAAGGAGAGTTTACAGACAACAGATCACCCCAAGAGAAACTTCAAATGAAAACTGTCTCCGTATGTTAAAAATGAAAGTTTAAAACAAAAGTTCTCATCTATTCCAAGAAAGAAAACAAAAACATCTGCTTGCATCTGAGGCATTATTGCTCGCTTTCATCTTCCAAGTGGTCACACTTCTTAGTTTTATCCTAAAATTGTAACAAAAGCTCAACTGCATTTGAGTAAACACCCTAGTTTGCATCTATACTCCTATTTCCTATATGTTTTAAGATTAAGTTGATAAATCAAAGTGTGGAACCATCAGTCTTCATTTAGAAATGCCCATAAAAGTACTGTAAAAAACACTTTTTACAACTTCAAATGAAAACTGCCTCAAAGATGAAAAAATTTCATCTTTGCCATTTTGTATCCTTCTCGTAAGGTATTTGCTAGATGGATTAGTATCTTAAGGAAGGAATCAGGATTCCTACTTCTTAAATCTTGAAACTGGATTAAACAGTCCTAGAATAATTCTGAGAAGGATCCTTATACTGTTAAGTGGTTAGCTGATCTCACTCTGGTTAATGCCAAGTGGGGCACAGAACACAATATGGCATGCACACATGTATCAAGAATTTTAAACTCCCTAAGTGCTTCAGTGATAAAAATGGATTTATAAAAGATTCATGTAGCATCATATTAAAAATGATAATTCTTTAGAAACTGCATCTTAACAGTTAAATATTCAGTTGTCGCAGTTCATCTGTATTCTCTCCCCTCCCACTCCTGACTCCAGACAGATGACCCCATTGACTTTGGACCTTAGGCTGACTGTATCTGGAAAATGGCCATTTCTCATAAAGGACAGAAACATCCTTTTAGCAAGCCAATATTTTGTCTAAGTCCATCAGATCCCTCTTCATTATAAGAATATCATCGTTTCTATAATTTCTCCCCTTACTCTGCCCTAGTTTCTGTGGACTGGGGAACTCCTGAATGACTGAGTCTCCTGAAGCATTGTGGTCTTCTAGCTCTGGCCTGCCTTTCCCTCAGCAAACATCTGACTGGCTGCTTGCACTTTCCCTGCTTTCCCTGGCTCCAGCCAGACTGCGTAGGTCTCCCTCATTGCTTGCTGAACTCCATTTTCTCTATCTGTCCTAATTCCTGCTACCAGACCCACATCCTTGGTTTGCTATTGCCCTACATGGCATGTACATATGGCCCAGTTTGTAGTGAGGCTGCAAAGAGCTGGGGATATGCCATCAAAAGAGCGGATTTTGAGCTGATGAACTGTATCATACAACGGAAATGATACAATGTCGGGGGCTAGATACACATATTCGAGCTTCAATCTCACCTCTACTAGCTGTTTAACTATGAACTATTATCTGACATCTAATATATCACCAAATGTAAAACAGTGCAAATAGTAATTCTCTCAGGATTATAACAGTCAAATAAAATAGCACTTTAAAAGTGCCAAAGATAGGACTAGCATGGATATTATATAAAATAAATTTGAATGGGAAAAGAGAAATGGGGAGAGCTGTTAGTAAACAATAAAATGGTGGTAATAAAGCAGAGATGAAGTAATGAAGCCCTATAGGAAAATAGTAACTATAGAAATAACAAAGTCAGCAGATATTTTCAAGGAAGTAAAAGCTCTTAGCAATAGATTAGATAAAGGAGAAGAAGAAGAGGAAGGAATCAAAGATAGCTCCAAGGTAACTGGGTGGATGAAGTTAAGAAAGTTAAAATAGATAAAAATTAGGAAATGGATATTGAAGGACAGATTTGAAAGAAGAAGCAAGATCTATAACATTCACAAGATTTTAAACTTTAGATCCAATTAAAACAAAGGGTCATTAAACCACTTGTAAAAACCTTAAAACAATGTAACAGCACAGTCAAAACTAAGGCTTACATATCTTGATTTTTATATAAAACAATAATCTTTTTTCTTTTAATCTAGAATGAAAATGGAAGTCATCCAAATAAATTATTTTTAAGGCCACTTAGTTACAGGAAAAGGTTGGAAATACAATTTTAGGAAACACTGGAACACAGGAAACAGTGGAAACTATTCGGATGGATGAGCTCACAGAATTATGAGGTGTAGAGGGAGAGAATGAAAAGACGGTCAATAATACAAAATGCTAAAGAGATGGTAGAGAATTACACGGAATTCAGGTTTTAGCCCCACTTCTAACTCCCACTGCTGCCTTCAGGAATAATAATGATCACGATGACATTGACATTAATTCAGCTCTTAAAATTGTCTTCTAATAGACTTCCCAATATGATTTAATTTAATCCTTATAACACCCTGTGAATAGATTCTGTTGTTAATAGATTCCATATTTACAGACAAATAATTTGAATGGACATTAAAGTTTGATCAAAGTCACCATTCAGGAATTAAGCACAAATAAATAAATTCCACGGAAACAAAGCTATAATTTTGGTCTAAACTGGGATACTTTTAAGAGTAAAAGAACAGAAGCAAACTGAAAATGTCCTGGGCAAAGTAGGTCATATGATCACCCTGACTTTTAACTGCTAAGCAGTCTGCCTTGAATCTCCTAGAATCATAAAAGTCAGTTTTTCTGCATCATAATTATTTACTTGAATTTGGTCAACTGAGACTTCCTCTACCATTTGTCTTTTCTCCTACCTTCAATTTCTTCCATTCTACTGGCTTCTTTAATTGCAAATTTTCCCAGCATCCAAATCTCTTGAGTCCTGCCTCGTGTCCTTGGATTCTTCTATTTACAAGCCAGTGTATTCTCTCTCAAATATTCTTTGCAGTATATTCTCATGCCCATCCCCACTTCCACTACCTTTGTTGCTGTCCCTTTCTCATTTCCCTAGTTTCATGCAATGGCCTCTTGTCTCTCTGTCCTCATCCTTCTTCAGTCTTCCATTCATGCTATTATAAAACATGCTATTGTTTTTGTAAGTTACCTTTAGAAAAACAAAGTTCTGACTCTTTGATTAAAAAGTAAGCCATCATGATTTCAAGATAATATTTACAGCTTTGTAGCCTTGTCTCCCACTCTCACTTTATGCTTCAGGCTGAGCAAGGCATTCATCATCTGTGAGGTCAGTGACCCTCCCCTATCTATCTATGCAGGCCACAAGGGTAGAGTAGCACCCAATAGGGTCTCAGAAGTTATTTATTAAGCAAATTGTTAAACCAATTCAAAGGCTTTCTAATCTCTAATCTTCTTCATACAGCACTAAAAATAGCATATCTAGGCAAATAAGAGTTGAATGCATATTTCCTACATTTATTGTATTGACAATGCTACTGACTTATTAATGAATATGTTACAGTAATGGAAAAAATACTATTGTCTTTTAGATGAGGAGAAACGTGATATTTGCCATCCCAATACAGAGATACAATCTTATATTTCATTTTAAGCCATAAAATATCTTTTTACTCAAATAGATGTCTAAGCTATTCTATAGGTGACATCTAAGAACTTACTCTCAAACCAAATAATTCCACAAATATCTGACAATGCACAAAAAGATAGCTTTGCTTTTCATGTGTGTCAAGAAATTAATGGGTAATCACATAGTCCTGGATATTCTATATTTGTTTTCCCTTTTAAGATTACCTATTAAGGGTACTTTTTTGGCTGATGAGAAACACATTGTTGTATAAACAAATAGATCTGGAGTTTTTGACTAAAGAAATGTTTTCAAAGTGTTTTTCCTTTTGTTTATGTTGTCACTGCTTAAAAGGCACTGAGAGATAAAGAGATAGCCCCTAGGAAATCTCTATCCTGGCCTCCTTCACTAAGGTCCAATATTTATTATGGGAATGAAAAATGCCTGCCTGCTTAAATTATAGTGTTAAGTCATTCTGCCACGCAATAGAATAAAGTCATATGTTAGAGAATCATGATAAAATTTGATCTGTTGTAAGGCGGTAGTGGGGAGTGGGGTGGAGTTGAATGCCTTGTAGTGTTCCTTGGATTAATTAAATAAATTCACTTATAAGATTCTTATGTTTTTTTTAAAAAAATAAACTCAAAATATTGTATGATTCTTAAATAAAATGGTAATCAGACAAAAATACGTCAGTATTAATATGCTTAAAATTTTGAAGAGAAGTGTCTTAACCCAAATATATATTATTTTTAAGCAACAGAAGTTACCATTATAATCTAACCCCAGTTCATTGGGCTAACAGACAGTACATGCCTTGGTCTCTACAAAGACTGCAAGAGTAAGATTGCCTGCTTGAATTCTCACTCTGCATCTGACAAGTTGTAAGACCTTGACCAAATTACTTCTCCATACTTCAGTATTTTTATAGTATAACAGTTTATGCATATTAAAGAATAAAATAATCATATATCCCAGATGTCATTGTAAATATGTAAAATATTAATTAGAGCATAGAAGAGTGTTGAGGAATAGCACACACTCAATAAATATTATGTATTACTATATAAACAAAAGGGTTTGGAGATTTTCTTAGTGAGGAATTATTTCAAATGTATTTTATAATGTTGAGCTAAATCAATTATTCCAAAATACATTTGAATGAATAATAATGCACTTCTTATCTATCTTAAACCAAAGGCAAGACAATCAAAAGCGAACAACAAAAAAATCACTAACCATTGAGCCAGTAATGCTCTGAAATGTCCGTTCTGATGTAGTGGTGGTCATGAGTAGGCCCAAGGGATCGAGTGAATGCAGTATCTTTGCCAAGGAAATCAGAGGCTGTTCCAGAGTAGAGGTACTCATCTGAGAGGGAGAAAAAAGTACACAGAGCTTTTAAGAGTACAGCAGTAGATGCTATTTAACATATACAAATTTTACAGCATGACACCAAAGATGTTTGTTGTTTAATATCAGAATGTATTGTTTCATAAATTTCACATTCAGATTTTGAAAATTTATCTCAGTTGAAGAAAGGATAACTCAATTTACTTTGGTAAGCTGATGCTGAATACTTGAATATAAAACAGGGCAAATTCTTCTGAATTAATAATTGCACATGCATCAGCTTCCCTTTTCAATAAATAATAATAAGCGATTCCTCTTTCTCTTCTCCCCACAAGTAATTCAAATAAATATCAAAATTAAGAGTTCCTCTTTAGAATAGACACAAAAAATATGAAAAGCTAAATGCCGTAATGAGGAATGGATTGTGTAATTAGTATTTACTTAAATGACACAACCTCAATGACCACAAATTTTCTTTGCCTAACCTCTGCTGAAAGGGAGCTTTCAGCACTGAAGTCATTCTTGATAATTATAACATGTTGCATTCTTTGTAGCTAATCATGTCTCTAATAGTTCTGATAAACAGGAATTCTTGAAAGGGGAAAGATGTTGCCATTACTGCATACCAAACTTCTTTGTTCTGTTATTTGTGTAAAATGCTTGTTCTGTTTCACCAGAGACAGAAAGAAAGAAAAGAGAGAAGGGGAATGTCAAGGAGAAGAAGAGAGAGAAAGGAGAGAAGAACAAAGAAGAAAGGAGAAGGAAAAGGAGGGGGAGAGAAGGGATGGTGAGAAGGAGGAAGAAGGGAAGTAAGAGGAAGAGGGGGAAAAGTGGAGGCAGGAGAAGGGGAGGACAAAGAGAAAAGAGAAAAGGCAGGTTAGAGAGAGGAAGAAGATGGAAGGAAGGGGAGTGAGAAAAACATAAGGGAAGGAGAAGAAGGGAGTAAGGATCCATGTTCCCTAATGTTAGTCAGGATGTTGGGTAGGGGTGGGGTGGAGTGGCAGGAAGAAGGCTGTCCCTGCAGGAGAATATGTTGTCTCTTTGAGAGGTAAACCTTTACTATTTCAAGAAACTTGTTAGTCAACCACTTGGCTTTACATGTAATAGAACAATGTAAAATATGGCTAATTCCTACAAAGCATTTAGATTTTATGAATGCCTAAATATGAGAACAAATACATTGTGTTGTCACTGAAATTTATTTTTGCTCAGAAATATATCTTTAAAATTCTGCCTTGTATAAGAAGGCATGAAGATACTTTCTATAGCCCCTGTTTATATCCATCTAGATAAGATTTCAATGAATGGTCAGGGATAATTCAACCTCAAGAATGAGATAGCTAACTTCTAAAGAAACACACACACACACACACACACACACACACAGAGAGAGAGAGAGAGAGAGAGAGAGAACTCCAGCTATGTAAAGTAGATGTAGATTAGGTACTGCTTCCATCCTCTTACAGTATTTCCCTACGATGTATCAGGTAAATGGCAATATTTCATTGTGGGCATATTTTTTAAAAAGAATAAAATAATAACAACAAAGACATTATTAAAAAGTTTGGTAAACGAAGCGAAATGTCACTTTGAAAACTATAAAATTGCAAGTATTTGAATGTTTTGTTAGGAAAAATATATTTCAACATAAAAATTAGATCTGAATATCCAGGCTTTCAAACTTCTTTCTTGTACCTAAAATTACTTGGAGATTCATAAGGGGTGTAACAACTGCCACCAGTCTATTGTTTTGTTTTGCTTTTTATTAAGAGTGTGCCAACTCCACTTCACAAATCAGAATCACAAACCATGTATCTCATTTTCTGAGAATAATGACTGATCATTAGTCACATAATTTTCAAAAAACACAAATGCACACATGTTGTCACTTCAAAGCAAAATGACTAGTTTTCACTAAGTGAAAATTAAAATGTCATGCTGCTTCACTCTTATCGTCTATTCAAACATTTGACAGACAAGTTAAATAGAAAGAGACTAAAGTCATGAACCAAACCAAGACAAAAGGAGTCCTTATAATGGTTGAAATTCAGAAGTCTTGCCGACATTCCTTGGAGCAGACTTCAGACCACACAGCACTGCTTCTTTGAACAAGATAGCTATCTCATAAGAGAATTTAAGATGTATACAAAGTGAGAGAAGACTAGCTATGCTAGCAGAAATTTCATGTTTCCACTGATAAAATCAGGTTATAGTGAAATTGCAAAAGAAGATGTTATAACATTCTATTATCTGTATTCTATAGCTTGATTAATTTGATTTAATTCACCCACATAGGGAATTGCTAAATTTAATTTCCATACTAAGTCAGATAGGGAGATATTACAACATAAGAAAATCCCCAGACATCTAAATATAAAATATAGAACACATAATTATGTGTTCTTTTACATTATAAAAATTCAATCAGAAGTTCATTTAAAAAGTAACTGTGCAGACACCATGGATTGCTGTGGCCTTCCTTTACTGAGAAGGATGCTCAGTACAGACAAATCTGGCACTAAAATAATGGAAACAAATTGCTGATGGTAGATTAGTCAACAATTACTTTAACTCAATAGGAAAATGTGGTTCAGTCAACAAATAACTCTTAGAAAACCATTTAAGGATAAGAACTGCCTATCATTGATCTTACCTGTCATTACTGAAGCAAAAGGCTGCTGAGGATCGAAAGGACATTTCAGTCTGCCAGACTCCAAATTATGTGTGTCTAGTTTGAATATAACATCCTGTTATGAGAAATATTAATATCAGTGAGCTTTTTTAAAATATTACAAACAGTAAGAATGTGGGAGATACAAACTGAATTCCAACTCATGAATTTGATAAAATTAATTGAGTATACAGCATGTGCATCATGCTGGACTCCTTAACTTTTTAGCAAACATATCTGGCAAGACTTAATAATCATTTTTTGGTCTCCCTTTGCCCAAAGTGGCAATGATAATACTGAGTGAGTTTTTCAAATGGAAGTAGTAATGTACTCATCAGTACATTTAGTCTCCACCATTATCAATATCAAAATCACCACTAAGAACACACATTTCTTGAGCTTCATGACTAACTTATGAAGCCTAATAAAACCAACTTCATCTTTTAAGAAATAGATTTGCTATAATAATCATACTTTCAGGATAATGATTATGATTTATATAACTAAGCATCTTCAACTATGTCAAATGACTTAAACCTTGTAACAGTTTTTAAAATTACAGTAACATAAAAGTGTTCTAAGGCGGACAGTTCATTTTCAAGTTGTTGATACATCTGGGTAAAAAAAAAAATCCTGTTGTAGTATTTAACTATTACGAAAACACTGTACACATTAAACCACATAGTTACTTTGGCTGAAACATCTATTTTTATAATAGTGGCCACAGACAGAATGACATTGGCAGACTTTTAGTATTCGGGAAAATAAATAACATCTTAAGTTGAACTTTCCAAGAAAAAATATGAATGTATAATGAATATGGCCCCATGAGATTGAGTGTTTCATAACAATGACAGCACTACCATCCAGCAGAAAGGATGATGACTCACTCTGTGCATGCACTAGTTACAGAAATCCTGCACTTCAGACATTCTGGCTAGGTGACGTATCTATTAGGTTATATCACAGCACACATGTAATAAAAAGGGACCATTCAGTGCAACTTACGTAGAACACAAGCAACAAAGCAAAAGAGACAGAGAAAATTATGTGTTATGTTGCACTTCAGATCTTTGTTTTTCTTTTGAACAAGACCAATAGTAACTACTGCCTAATTAAAAAAAAATACTAAATACTAATAGCAATTTAACTAGCCTGGTTAACAATTTATGGAACATAATTTTAAGTAAACACTTTAATACAAATAATAAGGGTACCTAAATAGGTACTAATCTAATGCCAGCAACTTTATGCCCTTTATCTCATTGAATTCTCACCACCAGCCTAATAATGTAGCTGGTAATACTTTAATAATTCCAGATTTGCAAATATGGCATTGAGGATAGAAAGGGTTACTGACTTTATTCTCTCACATAGCTCGTAAGAGGCAAAGCGGAGGTTGAATTAATGACTATCTCCAAAATTTATCCTCTTAACTAATCTAGTCTCAGAATTTCAAACACATAAATTTAAAAATGTGTTGAAGTTAATTTGTAGACTCACTGTGACCACAACATGATCAAATCCAAGTTTGTTTTGTTAGAATAGGCCAACTAATGAAAAGTTGTAATAGTGGAACTGAGCTATGAAAAAAAGTTTAATGAGAACACATTTAAGGCATGCTTCCCAACTGCGGATGGGGTCAGATATGCCAGGGGAAAACAACTCAGATGGTGACTCGGAAGCATATTTAAATATCATTAAGGGTACATTATTCTCCACAGATCAAATAGATTTATTGACTCAAAAATCTGTAATGGGATATTGTAAAGAGAAAAGTGCACTGAATCCTGATGCCCCAGAAAATTACAGTAAAAACCTGGAAAAAAAAGGAAGGAAGGGAGGCGGGGGAGGGAGGAACTGAGGGAAAGAGGAAAGAAGGAAGTATTAAAGAAAAAAAAAAAAAATACCTGGGAAAATGTAACAGTGGATCCAAGGTACTAGATAAACTCTTAAAATTGTATAGACTTCTGTTTTTGAATACAATGTTTGATTAAATGATCCATGGAAGCCCATTATATTGATATTTGTGGAAGCTGAGGACAAGGTCTCCCTTTATAATCTACTGGAAATAGAAGATAGCAAGAAAGCAAGTTTCCTTGAGCCAGTCAAGGACACATACAAGAAAATAGTATATATATAAAAAAATGTATGATTCCATGTGCTTCCTGAAATAAACTGACTGAATTAATGGCACTCTACATTTTGAGACTTCAACTTTATAAGATTGCTTCTATGAAGTTCCTTATTCTTGATTAATTATGCAAAAAGCACCTGTCTGAGCTACGCAGATGGAAATATGGGCAGAGAAGTAAAGATGATACAAGTAGGTAGGAATGATAGTAAGAAAACATTTAACGATCACAACAGCTAAGCAACATTATTGTCAATATCATGGCAATTTAAAGATAAGATCTGCAGCAGCAGAGGGGAGGTCCCAGAGGAAACGATACCAAGCCAAGTATTAAACAACTTTCAAGGTTTCCCAGCACTGTGGGATACAAATATTATTTTATAGAAATATGTAAAATATACATATTGTGTATATCCACACCTGTTTAGCTTTCTGTGTTTCTGTTATCTAGAAATGGATGAATGTTAAGTGACTAGAATGAAGCAAGTGCTATGCCAAATAGTATACAATCATTTTCTCATTTTTATTCTCAAAATAATTCTGTGAAATAGTTACTATTATCATTATTTTACTGAATAAGCAGAAGCGTAGAAAGTTTATAGAGTATGCATACAGCAATGGAGTTAGTAAACGACTGGAACCATATTTCAAACTCTGGCCATCTGTCCTCAACTTACTATTAGAAGTTGTTGACAGCAGCACTGACTTCCATCCTAAATTCCAGCTCCAGTTGGCCACTTGGCATGACCTACTGAATATGCCTCAAACGCAGAATGTGAAAAACTAACTCACCATATTTCCCTCAAACTTGCTACTACTCTCACCTCAATAAATAACACCACTCTTCAACTCACTGGCAAAGTCAGAAATCTGGGATTCATCTTAGCTTTTCCCTGTTTCTTCCCATTACCCCAGCCACACTGCATAGCAGTCCCTGAAGTATACCTTCTTCTGCTCCTTTGGTGTATTGCTGTTCCCTCTTCCCAGCCACCTTAGGAGGAGCCTGATTTATTTGAAAATGGAAGGTCCTTCTAAACTCCCTCTAGAAGTACAATGATTTATTGGGACTAATGATTCATTTAAAAAGTTAACAACTTTCAGGCAGGGCTTCCATACAATTACCTGTATGCCAGACCAGCTGAAAACTCAAGGTTCAATGCCCCTGTTTACTCATAATTCTCTTATTCATGAAACTTGTAAATTTGACTGCCCCAGAGCTTCTTGACAGTCCCAAGCTGCTAATTAGCTACTAATTAGCTCCATCTAAAATCTAAATTCCCTTTCAGCACTTGTGACTTTTTTTTTTTTTTTTTTTTGGAGACAGAGTCTTGCTCTGTCACCCAGGCTGGAGTGCAGTAGTACAATCTTGGCTCACTGCAACCTCTGCCTCCTGAGTTCAAACAATTTTCTTGCCTCAGCCTTTAGAGTAGCTGGGATTACAGGCACGTGCCACCACACTTGGCTACATTTGTATTATTAGTAGAGACAGGGTTTCACCATATTGGCCAGGCTGGTCTCGAACTCCTGACCTCTGGTGATCTGCCTACCTCGGCCTCCCAAAGTGTGAGCTACTGTGTCCGGCCAGCATTTGTGACTTTTAAGAAGCTATAGAACACTATTTGCCCTCCTCAGCAGGTTGTGAGTTTGGCCTTTATCCTTAGGCCTCAAAACACACTCAAGCTGTGGGGCTATATCACATAATTACACCCTATGCTACAAGCTAACGTTATATATTACCCTGCATCAGAGCTAGACAAGAGAGCATTACACCACCAACAAAGAATGATGGATTCAAGTTTCCTAGTCTCCTAGTGGTTCAGAAATTTAACTGTCAGGGTTGCTTTATTTTCAAACAGTTGAGTCTGGGCTGGTTAGACAAGTTGGTTAGAGAGCAAAATCTATCCATCCACAGTTGTGGGTATGATTTCTGTGTGGATCAGTTAAGTCAATATAAAGAAACCTTTTCCATAAGCCCAGACTTTACTTTCAAAAACACAGCCAATTATCCTGCAAATATGTGTGGTTACTCACAAAAAGTACAGTCATGCATCACTTAAAGACAGGATATGTTCTGCGAAGTACATCGTTATGCAATGTCATCGTTGTGTGACCATCACAGAGTACACTTACACAAACCTAGATAGTATAGCCTACTGCACACCTAGGCTATATGGTATAGCCTATGGCTCCTAGATTACAAACATGTACAGCTCGTTACTGTTGAATACTACAGGCAACCATAAGACAATGGTAAGCATTTGTGTATCTAAATATATGTAAACATAGAAAAGATACAGTAGAAATAGGGTAATATAATCTCATGGGACTACTGTATTATATGCAGCCTGTTGCTGATGGAAACTTTGTTATGATGCACATGACTGTACTTACAGAAACATGAGGATGACATTGCACATCACCAAGAAACAACTGGGAGCACTTATCCTAAAGCTCAGTTGCTCATGCTTGCTCTAGAGTTACACTGCCTTGATTCAATTTGTTGCAAGACCATTTATTAGTTGGGTGATTTAGCATATTATTTATTCCATTGAGACTTAATTTTTACTAACCTGTAAATTGGTAATTATAATGACACTGGCTTTATTAAGAGTGTTGTGAAATTCCAAAGCAATAATCCATGTAAAGTGGATGGCATGAAGTTCATAACACAAGGACAGTAAACTAAATTATTGGTAAATAATTTAATTGCCAAAATATGCATGTTTCTCACTTATTAAAGTTCTAATTGATATCTGGAATACATTACTCCTAATTAATACATCCTTTATTTCCATTATGCCAATTTGGTCCAGCTGAAACAATAAATTCATTGTGCCAATGACTATAAAGTTTTAACAAAATTATTAAAATATTCTTTACTTAGTGTCCACTATTATACATAACAGGTAAACTTTATTAGATGGGAAAATGAAATTATTTATATAATACAATTCCACTACAAGATCTTATGGAAAATGAATTTTTACCAACAGCAACATTCTATATATATATATATCTAGTTAAAAAGGAAAGTTAACAGAAAATACATATATACATAAAGCCCATAAAAAACAAATGCTTTTAACATTTTACACTATTAATTTTGATCATCCTGCTAAAAACCACTTTTAATAGAAAAACATTTTTATTAGGTAGATCAAGTATATGGTGAAAACGACAGTCCATAGAATGGCTAAGAACATGAGTTACTATATTGTTCATAAACTATTCATTTTTTGTTTTGTTTTGTTTTAAAACAGGATCTTACTATGCTGCTTAGGATGGATTTGAATTCCTTGGCTCAAGGGACCCTCTGACTTCATCCTCCTGAGTTTTGGGATTACAGGCATGCACCTCCATGCCTGGCCATATATGTTTCAGTCTTTATATTCAAATCTGCCTCTTTTATGTCATAAGAATTAAGTAACAACGTATTACAATAAATTATGCTTTTCATGCTTTTTCATTATTTACCTCCTTGTAGACTCCAAGATCAATATATCCACATATTGGATGAAATGCTCCAGTTCCACACACATATATGTGAGTTTTGTTATATGGCTGAAGTACTCTGATGAAATTTGCACATTCTGTCTATTAGGCATAAAAATTAAAAGCATTAACACACAATTCAGGTTTTTGAAATATTATCATTTATGCCACCTGTTTTCCAAGTAGATTAGTCTTCAAAAGTAAGAACACAAATGAAAAAGATTTATGAGAAATTCTAGACATCTGTTGTAGCAAAGGAGGCAAGACAAATATAGAAACCATGGCATGAAGGAGTAGCTTTTTAGATTTTCGAAGTTATAAAACCATTGAACTAATCAGAATTAGGGTTAATTAGAATGCAAGCCTCTAAAGTGGTACTCAGTGAGGCCTAGAAAATGGATATAAACAGAATGTGAATTAGACGTCTATATTTAAAATTTTCTTTTTTAAATTTTTTTAGAGATGAGACCTCTCTATGTTGTCCAGACTGGCCTCAAACTCCTAGGCTCAAGAGATCCTCCTTACTCAGCCTCCCAAGTAGCTAGGACTACAGGCACCAACCACCACACCTGGTATCCTTACTTTCTACAAGAAATACATAGAACACAAAATCTATCATGATCTGTTATTACCACATAATTTATACTATATAGCTACTACTGTGTGCAATGTCATCTGTCTCAGCTACACTGAACAAAACACTGAACACAAACGTGCATCTCTACCTATTTATTCTATTCTTATTGACCAGATGCCCTACCACTTTTTGCCATTTATTTTCCAATGTTTTAGAGCCTTTAAGAATCAGATTATTTCTGGTCAATTTCAATAATCCCTGTTTTTCTCATGGACTTTTTTTACACCAAGTCAAATTTTTGAAGAAATTTTTGTTTCTTTTTGTTTTGCATAAGCTTATACCTAAAAATATTTCCTTATGTCATCATTATCTTTAGAATTTAATTATTTTATATGCTTCAGATAGCAATAAATAGTGCCTCTCTCTTTTTCAAAGTATTTATTCTTGTTATTACATATTATTTTCAATCTATCTCCTGCTAGTGATACTGTATCTTTACATAATTGTTAGATGCAATTTCTTAACCATGGCTTCATGATTCTTAGATCCAAAGACACTTAAGTAAACACTGGGCTGGAGTACACTTTTATTCTAGATTGACTTTACCCAGGAGACAGGCAAGTGTTGGGTTATTAAGGAAGTTGGTAATCTGAATATAAACCACTGGATTTCATAGAAAAAGTTCAGTTTATTTCTGCCCAAGTGGCCATAGGTTACTCACCAGTCAGGCATGGATCTAATGGTCCACTGCTGTTGTTGGGGTTTCTAGGAGGAATATATTTAAAAAAACAAACAAACCCCAACAATAGATGATAACCTAACTGGTAGGGTGTTTCTTAGAATGAAAAAATTTTTTAAAAAGGCAGACAATGACTTACTGATAGGATTGTTATGGCTGTTATGTAGATTAAGTGAAATAATATAAATTTAATACTTGTGTATTCCTTACCCTGATTTTGAGCTACAACGTTTCAACTGGCATACACACACACACACACACACACACACAAACACACATTTGTTTGTTGTTTGTTTGTTTAAGCTGCTGGAGTACAGTGCTGCGATCTCAGCTCACTGCAGCCTCCGCTTCCTGGGCCCAAGCAATTCTCCAGCCTCAGCCTCTTGAGTAGCTGGAACTACAGGTGCAAGTCACCAACTCCTGGATAATTTTTGTAATTTTTTGTAGAGACAGGGTCTCGCTTTGTTACCTAGTCTGGTCTGGAACTCCTGGCCTCAAGCAATCCCCTAGACGCATGAGCCACCGTGGCAGGTCAATACTAATAGTTTTGAACAAACAATGAAGACAAAGTAATATGAGAAAAGATAAGATAAAAGTATGAAAATGTACTTGACCACCAGGTAAATTTTATTGATGACCTCATGGCTAGAGTAGGAAGTTTTATAATCCAGCCTTTAATTTGCTCACTCATGCTCGCTTTTTGAAAAGACTTTTATTCCTTGTTTTTTCCTGCACAAAGACTTTACTGCATCGGGGAGAGCATGCAGGGCAGGGAACAGTAAAATCATATGGCTGGAGTGAGGGAGGACTGACTCACCACCAATTAGTTCATTTTTTCAAAAGCTCAGTTAGAATTTAGAAAGTAATTTTGCAAGATTCTGAAATAAATATTTGGATAAAGAAATATAACTCCCTTTCCAGATTTTAAATTATGGAGTCAAACAGATTAGAAGCCACCAGTGACGCAGCACTGTTTAAAAAGACAAATATGATACAGGGTAACATTTTATACACAGTAGGGATATAATTTTGGTGATTATTTTAAAAAAAATTCTGAATCACATCTAAAGTATTTCATTTCCTTTCACTTTTCTAGGAGTACTTTATTAAAATGGTGCTAGTCCTAGAAAGTTGCCTAATATGCCAATTTCCTGACTTGACAAGGCATACCTCAGATTAATTTGTGAAATTCCTCCTTCTGTCTGATTGGGCTGACATGGAATAATAATAATAAAAAAAAAGTATGGGTGAATCTTGAATTATCTGACACAGTTTACAAAAATGTCAGTTGTGCTCAAAGTTTTCTGTAGGGAAGTTGAGAGACGATGGTTCTCTCAGCAGCCTAGAGGCAATAGAAAGGCCTTGGCTGACTGAGCAAAAGAAACCTGTGAACAGAGATCATGAAAGATAAGGTCTCCCACTTTAAATTTTGGCTGAGGTTGACATTTAAGCCAAACAATCCTTGTTGCAAAAAAAACTTTACAATGACTTCTCTTTCAATTCATAACTTCACTTTTTTAAGTCTCAGAAATCCTGTATTGTTTTATTCTTATACACAAAGTTTCAAAGATTTGTTTAAATAGCATGATCAATAATTAACCTGATTTAATTCACTTAGTGACCTTCAAGGCTATCAATGGTAGTGTAATTCTGTGAGGCATGAAGAAAGATAACTTTGAGAAGCAGCCTTTGTAACTTTCCCTGAAAGCTAATTTGTCAGCTATTGCCCACAATGTCAATCACTGCATGTGACCAGACAACCCAGGGAATAATATATTCAGCTTAGGAAAAGTATTGAATTTCTCCTTCCTTCCTGTATTCCTCCTACCTACATGACTTTCCATAGGCCCTACCCTACCCCCACTGGGAGAGAAAGAAATAGAGAAGAGGGGGAGAAGAGAGAAAGAACCAAAGCAAACATCAACTTTTTAATTATCCTAAGTAATATTAGATGTTTCAATGTTTTATCTCTCAGACATATTCATACATATATAAATAACTAATAGACAAGTATAAAGATGAATTCATACTTGGAGAGAAAAAAAGCAAAAACATATTAGTCTATGCATTAACACTTAGAATTTTAATTTCTCCCCAGATACCTGGAAAGATAATAGAAAAATAGAAGTACTTGTAATTCTCAAGACGTACGTATTGTCCAATAAAATCCAAAACAGCTTTATATCTAGTATGATAATTGACTTACAATAGCTAATTTTAATTTATTTATGTTAAATATTGGAAGATACTAATGATTTAGGAATCTTATCTGGTTTTATTTTTAATGTGTGTTGCAGAATATTGTTATCATCAAACATTTTTTGACTTTTCACCTGTATCTGTCTCTGTGCTACATGTTAGGCTTGTCTAGAAGTTCTCAGACAGGATCCAGGATGCAGAGATATCAGTTTAGGTCTTAAAATCTTTAAAATAGGGCCGGGAGCGGTGGCTCACGCCTGTAATTCCAACACTTTGGGAGGCCGAGGCGGGTGGATCACGCGGTCAGGAGTTCAAGATCAGCCTGGCTAAGATGGTGAATTTTCTCTACTAAAAATACAAAAATACAAAGAAAAAAAAAAAATAGCTGGGAGCGGTGGCAGGTGCCTGTAATCTCAGCTACTCAGGAGGCTGAGGCAGGAGACTCACTTGAACCCGGGCAGCAGAGGTTGCAGTGAGCTGAGATTGAGTCACTGTACTCCAGCCTGGGCAACAGAGCGAGACTCTGTCTAAAACAAACAAACAACAACAACAAAAAAACTATTTAATAGATGGTTAACACTTCAAAATAAAAATAGAAAATCTCATATATCACATTTGTACTTAAAAATGGGAAATCTAACAGTGAAGATTTCTACAGAGCAATAATCAGTTACAGTAAAAGTGCAAAAGAAAACATTTTAAAGAAAAAGATAGAAATGACTATTTAAATAAAGTCTATACATCAAGGTAACTGATAAAGTGATAAAGAATATGTTTTCATGCGTGGAACACAAGGCATTATACCTTATGTATACTCTATACATATTTATGTTATATACATCTACATATACGTGTGTGTGTGTATATGTTTTATAAATCTGTAAATAATCAGCACAAAAAAGGCAAACAGGAAAATTTAAAAAATACAGCCTGCAGGGATATGCTATTTAAAAATTTTATTTTACCGCTATATAAGATGTTTAGAGTAATGAAAAAAATTCAAGCTAAAACAGCAAAAATAATTTTCTTTTTATTGGCAAAGAACATACATATTTTATTCCTTCATATGCATTTGTATTAAGCATTAATTGTATGTTGTATCCAATATTAACAATGGTATATTAGGTAAATACACCCTCCGTTGATCACATAATGCTGGTTAGAGCATATGAGCCATAAACTTTCTGGAGGGCGATTTGGCAACATGTTTATAAAAATTTTTATGTCCTTAACTAATAAAAGTCTACTCAATAATCAAAGATGTTCATAATATTTACATAAAAATTTTTCATGTACAGTGTCATTTTCTGTAGTAAAACTGGATATGTACCAAACTTCTAACAATAGGGGATTGATGAAATAATACATAAAGAAATGCAGTGTAACTATTAAAAGTAGTGTTATAAAAAGGAATTTAATGACATGGGAAAATGCTCATGGCAGTCTGTGAAGTAAAAAAAAATAAGTGTTTTAAGTGACTATGTATACAATGATTTCATACTGAAAAATAGTAAATAGATAAGATAGAAAAACATCAAAATGTCACCAGTTATCTCTGGTCAGTGTTCATGGGGGAGGTATTTATACATGACTTGTTTTTCTTTTTTTGCTTGTATATAATTTGCAAACTTTCTACAATGAACGTTCTATTTTAGTTTTAGACTTTCTTGAGAGAAAGAAAGGAAGAAAAAAAGAAAGGGAGAGGAAGGAAAGAAGGAAGGAAGGGAGGGAGGGAGGGAGGAAGGAAGGAAGGAAGGAAGGAAGGAAAGAAGGAAGGAAGGGAAGGAAGGAAAGAAGGGAGAGAGGGAAGGAGGGAGAGAGGGAAGGAGGCTGAATATAATCAAAGAACTGAAGTTCCGGAAGACGCTTTAACTCTGTGTAATGTCTGTGTGGACAGGCTGTGCCCCTCTGTGGTTAAACTGACAAACAGCCCAGGCTACCCTCACCCTGTGGTTTCTTTTGCTTGGAGTAAGCTGTTGAACCCACAATTATATAGTCAGGACTAAAGACATTTCTTTAGTTACTTTCTTTTGAATAACTTTCCACTAAACAGAAGCAAAATACTACCAAATATCTTCCTGTCACCTCTACCCTTCTTTGGATTAAACTGGGGACTATGTTCAACAAAGTGGAATAGTTCCCTTTTGTTTCCTCATCTTCTACTATCCCCACCCCAATTAGCTAACTTTCATTAGGGTAAATAATTCACTGTTTTGCAGTTATATAGTACCTTTGTGTAAAGGGACAGTCTTTCCAAACACTTGTTAATCCTAAACACACTCTTGGGAAGTAGGTAAAAATTACTAGAGAGGAAGGAGGAGAGAGGGTAATGCCAAACATAATAAAAGATGTCAATAAAACCACAGAGCTGTCTCAGTTTTCTGTCGGCCAAAATCTAAGTAATGCTGTTAAAAATGAGGATCTATGTTCTGGTGATATTACGGAGAGAAATAATTTGAAGGATATAGTTTTTGGATCTTATATGTATATTTTATAATGTTATGTAAGAGCACAGACCTTGGGGCAAGACTTTTGGATTCAATCCCTGGCTTTACCATTTACCAGATGCATGACATTGGGCAACAATTTAAGATTTTTGGCTTTAGTTTTCTCATCCAGAAAATAGAAAATAATAATACAATCTAGCATATAGTGTTGTCATAAGGATTAAATGAGGTTATAAATGTAAAGCATTGAAAACAGTTCCTTGAACATGGTAACTGCTACAAAAGTGTTAGCTATTATCAGTAGCTATAAAATGAAACATTATTTTAAAGGAACAAGTTAAAATGAGGCAAAAATTAAAAATTATCACTACATGATTCAACAGCAAACTATAGACTTTAGCAAAAAGCAAAAAGCAAAAAGCTCCTCATATCTTTAATCCTGGGTTAGCAGCAAATGTACTTAAAGGTTAGAGGTGGTTGCTAGCTCACAATTATGACCGAATCGGAATAATATGTTCTATATACAGAATCCTACATGGTCAAGGATATCACCTCCAGAAAAGTTTATCTCCGTTTGCTTTAACTTAATAAGAGAGGCAATTAAGTTACTATGTAACTGGAATTAGCGAACATACCCAAGTGAGAACACTGTCAGAATTTAAACCTTCACTGACTGTTTGACCTTGACTGTTTATCCCTGATCTACTCCATGGGAAAACCAGTTTATTGGAGTCAATTGAAAACATCCTTTTCCTTCTTGCCTCCTTATCGTATACTCAATACTGGTGAAACAGAAATATTAAAATGTTCATGGTGGTTATGCCATGCTTATACTGTCCATTAAATGAAATAATTTGAAAAACTCTCATAACCAAAGCATTTTTTTTTCTCCATGAGTGTTCAGTAAAGTATTGGTGCTTTTGCAGACCTGGGTACCTGTTTGGTATTGGAATATTGAACTGGATAAAGATATCAAAGCCATGGGAGGAAGAAGAATACATTACAGAATAGTTTAATCTCTTTCATCTCTAGTGGCCGAAATGTAAAAACTGTTTCCCACTGCATTTTATGTTAACACTCCCTGATATATTTCTGCTAATATAAATATGCCTGAAAGGATGATATTTAATTCTGTTAATAACTGAATATAAAATCAGGGGTCACCACAAGTTTGTTTTGTTTCATTTCAATTATTTTGCTTTGTAGTTACTATGTAGAAGTCATCATTTGAGCAATATCTGTATCCCCCATTAGATTGAAAGCTGCATGAGGGCAGATATGATATGAATTTCATATACATATTTAGGATCTCTAAAAATATTTTTTGAATAAATGAGTAAGAAATGAGTGAACTAACCTGTTGTCTGAGATTATTAGCTGTCTGAGCTTCTCCTCACATCATTAGGCATTATCTGTTATATTGTTTTATTTATATCACGTTGGTAGAGGATTCTTTATTCATCCTTTCATAACAAACACTATTTGTTATTATTAAATATGACGGTATTACTGAGCTTAATACCCCTGTATTATTGTGGTTAGAGGTACGATTAAAGGATGGTGCAAAAGAAGCCTCAAGATGTCCATTTTTCTGCCCCAGGTTACGAACTGTTGTCATCTTGGGTTACAACTTGATGTGAAATTTATTTTGCCAAAAAAAAGAGCAATTCTCCCCATTACCATAATGCAAGAAGTCAGGGCAGAAGACAGAATATCTGGCCTGAATCAGAGCACTCGGATAAGGAGAGGAGCCAGTCAGAGTCATGGCCCTCATTGCTGGAGATAAATCAGGTAACACGATTAGAGGGAGCATGCAGGACAGCTTGAACAGTGCAGAAATCAAGGTAGATAAGACCATCCCGGAGACAAAAAGTCATACCTGTTTAAGGGTTTTCTCCGCTCTTCAAGGCAGCTTAAACTAAAAGCTTCTATTAGTACCCTCTAGTTGTCTTTTATGAGTTATTTTATATAATCATTATTACTAATATGTAAATTTCAGAGGAAGTAATTACTAGTTCTTATGCCAGAATTGTCATTCATTATCAACTAATTCTTACTGTTCTTTCCATCATGTCACTACATAAAGGAATTCTTATAGATATTTTAATTTCCACTCAATTGAAATTACGTGTCAATTCTGTGTGATGCTAAAATAACTGATGGTTTTATGTACACTTACAAAATACATGTGCATAAATGAAAAATATATATTCTTACAACTACAATCTTTTGGATGGTTTATTTTTGAATATTTTAATGTGTTTCTAATCTTTTTTGTGACAAAAAATAATATTTAGAATTAATATATTAGAATATTTCTAGATTTCTTAAATTTTATAAATAATATCATGGCTTTCGGTAAGGTAGAGATATTTTATTCCACAGTAATATTCACATGGAATATGTTAGTTTAGTCTGAAAAATAATACACTAATACCATTTATTCAATAAAGCCCAATATAAATATTTATTCTCATATCAGTAGAAGTTTTACAAAGATAATTGTTAAAGTTTCATACTTACATTGGCATCTTTCCCAGCTAATTTACATAATTCCACCCGTTCCTTTGCAGCAGGCCAATAAATCTGCAAAACATTTCAAAGTATGTTACAATCAGAATATCTGAAACACCCTAACACTCTGCAATTCTGATTAGAGAGTGATGTGTGAAATTGAAGAATGGGTATTAAGCATGTTGTTAGAGTCAGTGTGGGAAATCTGAGATTTAAATATTTCCCAAAGGCACTCTGAAAGTTTCTAAAAGAAAAGTGTCTAGTACTATCCATTTTTGTTAATCTTCTAGTTTCTAATTTAATGTATGTAACAGTAGATACATTATGTTCAGAGGTCCACAAGCTTTATCATGATGTCAACAGAATTTCACATGAGCATTTGTCTAAATAAGAGGCTGAATGTACCATGTTTTTCTGTGTTTACTCAGAGTAGCAGTACATCATAAACATGTGCCATGAAGTGTTAGAAACAACTCTCTGTCAGAGCATAAGTTCTTTCTTCAAGCCAAGGACCAGTGTGAATTTGTTGACAGTATTTAACATGCTTGGAACTCAAATGCATCTGACACTTAGCTAAATGTTTTATAAGCATTATCTTATTTAAATTTCACAATGACCCTCTGAGATGGCTGTACTTATTCTTCCCATTTTGAGATCAGAAAACTTAGTCACGTAGTCTTTAAATAACATGTTGAGGACCACAACACTATGGCAGAGCCACAATCTGACCCAAAGTCCATCTCACTCCTGAACTGGGGGGTTATCAACCATTATATAACTCAAGGGTTCCAAACTCATTGGTTGATAGCTTTTAATTATGCTTCACAATCTTGTGTTCAAGGCTTTTCTTTCTTTCTTTTAAATTCTGTCAGGAAGTTTTTGTAGGAATTCTGTAAGAAAGTTTTTGAAAAATAAAGTTTAAACAGTTATGTTACTTCATTAGCTTACAGAAAGAAATGCTCTCTGTTAAGCTACAAGCAAGAAGGAACAAGAAAAGCAAGCTCTAAAATCTTATAATATATGCTCCAGGAGTTCCGGACAGACTTTTATTATGTTTCTTACCAATGGTAGCAGAAAATATTTTAATAGGTGAGAAAAAAAGGAAATATCCTGAGGGAATACACTGAAAGAGACTTGTTAAACCTGGAATTAACAAAGGATTTAGACGTCATCAATGTTTATATGATATTATCTTTGTGGTGAAATTTTAGGGTTTTATGTCTCTAAATAAAGAACAGAGAATAGCATTCAAAATAGGCAAATACAATGAAATTTTTGAGATTTTAAACGGAAGCAAGATTGTTTACTTAGAGAAGATCTTAACACTCACAAATTACAATCCAGATATGTATATAGGCAGGTGGTAGAGACAGCAGAAGGCTCAAGTGATGAGCTAACCTTGATAAGGTACACAATGAAGACCAGAAAATGCTATTTATTCAGAAATGGTTTGAATCACTGTAGTTCTACTATCACACAACTTTAAATAGCAGCCAGCAGTCAAGTATCAATGAGCTACAGCAATGTAAAGCAATATGAATGGAAATTAGCAACTCAGTAATAGGTCAAAAAAGAATATGTCCTCAGATTGAAAACCGCACGATCTTGCTTTAGATTAAAGTTAAAAGCAACTAAAATAAAATGGTTACATTTCAGGTGTATAGGCGGGTGCATTTAGAAAAATGGCCAGCCAAAATGGGAGACGAGGAGAAGGATGACTTGGTGGTAAGAAACAGGTTATTTATCAGATTCTAGCATTTGTATTTGAGGGTACATTTTCAGGCATTTAATACATAATTAAGAACAAGAGATTAATGTAAGTTAGTAAATAGATTAAAATGGGCAATGCTTTTTGGACCAATGGACAATGGTTAGTCGTAAACCCAGAATCGTGAAGCCATAACTTAATAATCCAGATGGAACACCGCAGTTGGCCACAAATTGGAGAGTTTCTTCCAATGTTGTTTGTTATTTTTGTTTTGGTTGTTCCTTTATTATTCATCATTGCTAGCAAAAATAGTGGACTGAGTGCTCTTTTAAAATTGCATTGGCCGGGAGTGGTGGCTCATGCCTGTAATCCCAGCACTTTGGGAGGCCGAGGCGGGAAGATCACGACGTCAGGAGATCAAGACCATCCTGGCTAAAACGATGAAACCCTGTCTCTACTAAAAATACAAAAAAATTAGCTGGGACTGGAGGTGGAGACTACAGGCGGGAGGCTGAGGCAGGAGAATGGTGTGAATCCGGGAGGTGGAGCTTGTAGTGAGCGCAAATTGTGCCACTGCACTCCAGCCTGGGTGACAGAGCAAGGCTCTGCCAAAAAAAAAAAAAAAAAAAATTGCATCTTGAATTCAGAGTCTTTACTTTAGATATGAGATTATGAGATCTCTGGGTATCCTCTCACTTTTTCCCCCCTCCAATGGTCCAATTTTATTATTATTTTCAATTTTGGTTAAAAACGCATAACATAAAAAATTTATCATTTTAACAATTTTCGGTGTAGAATTCAGTAATGTTAAGTATATTTACATTGCTCTGCAGCCAATCTCTAGAACTTTTTCATCTTGCAAAAGTGAAATGCTGTATTTGCTGGTTCTTCAATATTACAGTGATTTCACAAAGGACAACTTTATGTCATTGGACTGAAAATAGTACACAGACTACTTATCCATAACCTGTCAATTGATTTAATCTTTTATAATGCACTCAAAATATATTTATTGATGCAGATCTTAAGCCTAGAGTTTTATTTTTATTTTTAGAATATTTTCTTTTTTTTTCCTCTTTCTTTGTAACCTTTATTTTGAGTTCAGAGGTACAAGTACAGGTTTGTCACACAGGTAAACTTGCGTCATGGGAGTTTCTTGTAAAGACTGTTTCTTTACCCAGGTATTAAGCCTAGTACACATTAGTTATTTTTTTCTGATTCTCTCCCACCTTCCACCCTCCACCCTCCAAAAGGCCCCACTGTGTGTTGTTCCCCTCTATGTGTCCATGTATTCTCATCAGTGAACTCCCACTTATGAGTGATGAGAACACATGGACACACAGAAGTCCATTTTGTAAGTATTTGGCTTTCTGTTCCTGTGCTAGTTTGCTAAGGATAATGGCCTCCAACTCCATCCATGTTTCTGCAAAGGACAACATCTGTTTCTTTTTTTATGGCTGGGCAGTATTCCATAGTGTACATGTACCTCATTTTCTTTATCCAGTCTACCACTGATGGGCATTTAGGTTGATTCCATGTCTTTGCTATGGTGCTAGATTAATATTTCTTTGAACCATTTCAGCGTGAAAGATCCTGTTCTTTTTTTGTATGTTTTAGATGACAATCAGGTTTAATCGCAATTCAGGAATACATATAGGGCAAATATCTATAGATTTGTTCAGAATTACATATCATACAAATATTAATAATGTAGGAAACAAAAAATACATAACTCTTTCATATTAAGTAAATGAGTCTTAAAAAGGATAAAAGGTTTTAAGGGTTTTATCTTTTACTTCAAATCATAGTATTGGGTGATTGAGTCAAATTATGAGATAAACGATGCCACCAAAATTAAGTGTGAATATATTCATTAGTAATTCTAAGAGGAGGGGCTTATTTAAAGAATGACAAAATGTGGAAGCAATCGTTTTTGAAATCTAAATCAAGATTTCAAAGTTAGTATCAAGTAGTTACTCTTCATTAACTGTTTGTTCACTAGACATATAATTATGAAGGGCCTTCTGTATGTCAGCCAAGATTGAGGTGCTTGGATCTGAGTCAGGATGGGAGAGACAGAGCGAGAAAAGAGTACACAAGATGAAACCACTGTGCTCAGGGAGCACTGTGGAGCGCTTACTGGTAAACAGCGTCTTTAGCAGTCTCTACTTTTGAGCCTCTGTTTTAAATTACTTGCTCTGAATAGTTTCAACTCTAATATAATGGTTTGGTTTAAAGTTAGGTAGTTTCAACTCTAATTTTGTCTCAGGGACTTGACACCAAAATAGCAATTGCACATTTATTCTCTTTGTAAAGAAATACAAATCTGTAAAAGATGCTTTAATGTTTTTGTTGTACATTTTCAGTTATTGTTGATAAGTCACATAATTGTAACTTGAGTTGCATCATCCTAGTTGATGAAGCCATACAACTAACTACAAGCTTCAGAGAACTGACTTTTTGATTAGCAAGTAAATGTTACATACAAGCACAGGGATTCTGAGATGGTATCACAAAGAAAATTTTACTTCTTAACGTAAAACTAAAACCTTCAAAAATAACGATTTATTGAAATAACATATTGGCTTATTTTGACACAATGCTGCCAAGGTTTAGTAATCACAAACAGAATTACCTTAAATAAAAACAACCCATGATATATCTGATTGTCTTTTAGACTCTAAACATTTACTTAGAAGGGAAAAAGAGTCATTACAGCTGTGTTAATATTGAAAAGATGTCAGTTTAATTATGATTTGTGGTGGACTTTTTTCTTACAGACTACCTAATCATTAGAATAAAGAAATTTTAAAAAAATATTCTTTTTTATTTCTAATTGGAAAATAATGTAAAGAGACAGAATTTCCCTTAATTCAATCTAAAAACACAAAAAACAAGACAAATTCATTTTTAAAGATCCACTCTTATTCTTACATAGAATTGGCAAAATTTTCAATAATCTTTTGAAGTGTTATATGTATATATATCACATTATATATAATGTTTATAGAATGCCATATATAATGTACAATACACGCACATATATAATAGCATTCCACTATTTTCATATTTTTCTAGTCTCTCTCTCTCTCCTCCACCGCCCCCCCCCCGTGTGTGTATGCGTGTGTGTGTGTGTGTGTATAGGTACATGTGGAGGGGGAAGTAAGAGAGAGAAAGTCAGAGACACACACAGTTATATAAAGGGAAAAATAGAGATGTTAACTGTAGGGTGACTGGGTATAGAATAAGATATATTTCACATATAGGCTGAAGTTTCAGCATATTTTGTACAACAGTCCAAGACGTACCTGTGTTCCTTGGATTATTTTAGTAGCCTAGTCAGTACACTTTAAGATTGTGTCAC